TATTAACATACTAAAAGATGAGAATTTTATAACAAGTGAGTCACGCCCAGTAACTAGAAAACAGAAGCATGTACAGTTATGGAAAAACCGTAAAAGTGATATTTAAGCTAAGTGGGCTTAGGGGAACCCTTAGTAACTTATAATAATCATAAATATGACTTGGATGAGTTGAAAATAATCTAAGTGAGCCTTGCATGTGATTCTAAGCTATGTAAGTAATTGAAGATTAAAGTGGCTTGTAATAATGCACTAAAATATGTAATAAGTAATAATTGGTCTAGGCTTGTAATGGGCATATTATTGGCATATGAGTATGAAAAGTGGAATCATTAAATGATTAAGTCGTGGATATGACTTGATTAATTAATATGTAATTAATGATGTGAATGGTTCCTACTCTAGGTGTGCCTAGAGAACCGTGCACTTGAGGATTTTGTTGGAGCATACTTATTATATTGGAGTGTGGGCTTGTGCTAAGCTCCCTAAGGTAAGCTCCTAGTTCTAGTTGACTCCTCTCTCTTGTGGCCCCACCATGATGGTGGGCATTATGGTTATATTGTATGGAAGTATATGGTATGATGTATATGTGCATTCATTCACATTCACAGTGATCATGGTATGTAGGCTGCCTATGACTTGACTCTGGGAGTTATTTCATACTGAGGTTGTGTTGACTGTCTATGGCTTGACCCTGGAAGTCACACATGTGTAACCGTCTATGGCTTTGACCCTGGGGTTACACAAGGATATATGATGATGCTATGTTTATGCTGTATGTCTGTATTATATGCTTTATATCTGACTTGTTATGCAGGAAGTGGACTCAGGGGTTAGAGGATCCTCTATGAACCTTGTACTGAGATGTTGTTATCTTACCCCGTTTGGGGACATCATTTCAGGTACCCAGAGTAGTGCTGATGCTTCTAGGGGCAAGGCCTCCGCATTGGAGTAGTTGATGATGCAGCTGATGATTTTATATTATGTTTAGATTTGATGTTGGCATGTAGACTTGTTAACATGCTTAATTATTTTATGGAGATTATTGTATGTATTTATTTAGGCTCATGATAGTATTCTTAGAGCCATGGATTATTTACTGATACTTTTATACTTCGAATTAATATAGACTTGATGCATGTATTCAGTTAAGTTGGGCATGTAGCCTTATTAGTTGTATTGACCCATTAAGGGGATTGCAGTCCGTGTGGGACTTGCAAGCTATCTGTTTAAATTGTTGTATTAATTAGGTTATCTGTATGTGTAGAATCATGTTTCTAGTTATCCGAAATACAGCCGTTATGTTGTCCGTGAGACTCCGTCAGGAATGACACTTGATGTCATATCTTGATGGTCAATGGCCACTAATACTGGCTCATGGGATTAATTAGTAGATGTATATTTAGATTTACGCTTTCGCAGTATCTGACGTGAACGTTTTTAGAAATGTTTTTATGAAATGTTTTGGAAAAAGCTTACTCGTATTTTTATAAGATGCTTTATTCCTTTTCAAATAAAGTCTTCCGCTGTGAATGTTAAATATCATGTATGTTAACAACCGGAGTACTATGGGATGTTACACTTTGTATCTGACTCTCATGTAGGAGTGGGCCCAGGGGTATGGAGAATTCTCTATAAACCTGGAGCTTATTGAGATTTGTTATCTCACCCCTTTTTGGGGACATCATTTCAGGTTCTCAGATTCCCGGTGAGCCCTCACGAGGCAGGGACACTACCCGTGGGTAGAGGTATAATATCCCTCACCATGAGATGTAATTAATTGCATGTAATTAGGCAATTAATCTTGTAGTAGTGGGTTAAATTAGGTAAAATATCTAATTAAATGACTTAGAGTCACTTTTGTGGTGAAAAGTGCACTCAGTGAAAATTATGGGATAAAAATAGGTATAGGCAAAAGTACCCAAAATATAAAATTAATAGTGGAAATATTCCTAGAAAAATATTCTAGACCTTTGGGTAAAGTTTGATGGTGAATGGAGTTGAATAGATAGATGAGCTTATACCCGGTAAAGATAACTTAAGTTAAGTTAAGTGACAAAACATAAATTGAATCCCATTTCATCTTCTCCTTCACGTGGCTTCTTGAGAGACCAGACCCCATGGTTTTTAAGCTCCAAAACACAACTCTCTTAATACTAAATGGAATCAGTTGATGTTTGAAGCAAAGATGCTTGGTTTTTCCTTGTGAGTGTAACCTATAATCCAAAATCTTGAGAAACCAAGTGTGTGGAGAGAAAATCCCTTGAGAAAGTGGTGACCCATTGTTGATTGGGCATCTTGTAGCGGCCCATTGCTTGTAGTGAGGCTTGGAATCTCTTCCTTGGGTGATTCTAGGTGAGTCAGTGTTAAGAAATCCTAGTTTCTTTTGAGTTTTGTGGAAGATTAATTTCTAGGTTTTCTATGAAAATGGGTCTTTGAATGAGGTAGTTAGAGCATGATTGAGGCTTAGGCCAAGTTGGGAAAAGTATTTAGATGATGATTTTAATGGTGAAAATGTATTTGGATGATCACTTTACTCATCTTCATCAAATTTTGAAAATTATGCCTAGATAGTGTGATTCTTGCATTTCCAGTAGTGTGACTTGGATTATTGGTATTGATTGTGTTCATGGTGCTTCTAGGTTGGAGACAAGTGGATCTATCTTGATTGATCAACTATTGGAGGAGCCAATGGAGCTTGATCATGCCACTTAAGATATTTCAAGTGAAGGTGAGTTCATGACCATATGAGTGATGCATAGAGTTCCTTGTGTTGGTTGTGAATATATGTTAATATTTACATGGTTGCAATTGTATCTTGTCAAGTAGGTGATTATTTGGCAAGCTACTGATTATTGCTTAGAGAGCAAATTTCTGGTTGTAGAACCTTGGTGCTCGGACCAAGCATTGGGTAGGAAGCATTACAAGGTAAGCCTTCGGACCTTGGGAATTGATCCCTTTATTGTTCCACGAAGCCCGGAACGGGTAGTGGTTGTTGATAGTGTATGTAAATGCAATCAAGTAGTTTAATGCTTTGTTATACGTATATGTATGCACTGGTGTGGCATAAGATAATGGTTCCCTATGTTTTGTATGTTGCATGACGAAGCGTAATTCATACTTGGTATTTTAGCTAGCCAGTAGGACTATTTTGCATCTGAGTATCCTTAGGACAGCATAGGAGCTCGAGGGATGTCTCCTGGAGATGTTTTTACACACTGCATCGATAGATATTTACTGCATTATTTACTGATTATTGTTATTATACTGTGAGTGAACTATGGGGTGGAGAGATTCTCCAAGTACCCCTGGTTTACTGAGATGTATTCATATATCTCACCCCGAGTTGTGGGGACCCCCTTTCAGGTTCAGATGCTGCAGGAGCCTCTGGTGGCAAGTGCCCATATTTGGATTAGATTGATGCATGAAGATATTTTATTATTTTGGTTATGCATGTCATTTTGTGGTTCCTATGTATAGGATTTATGTAGAAGTTTCTGCTTGCGTCCAACATATGGTGTTTTCTAAGTTTAAAGAAGGAAGGAATTAATCATAAATGAGTGAAAATAGCTCATAAATGTAAGAAATATTGATTATTCCTTCTCAATCATCCTCTCACTCAATTTCTGTATTTTGACAGCAGGAAACATAAAAAAGAAGTGAAAAGAGAAAATTCCACATTGCAAGTCCCACGCAAACCGCGCGATGCATGGCGCGATCCACGCCATAAGGCAATTTTCTCCCTGTTTCACCGTGTGATTTCCATGATAGTGGCGCGATCCACGCCATAAGAAGTTTGCTCTCTGTTTCTCCGCGCGATTTGCGCGAGATTGGCGCGAATTACGTGGGCGAAACTTAATTATTTTAATATGATGCGAATTACACTAAAAAAAGCCCAATTGGAGACCAATTGGAGTAAGGGTTTCCCAAAAAGGTTTAACTTGAAAAATGATTTCTAAGGGTTTAGGATTCTAATAAAGTTAATAAGGTTAAAACAATTAAGGAATTAGGGCTTAACCAATTAAATAAAAGATGGTGGGTCGTTTGATCAATTGAATAATTAAACGTAAACGTTACTCAAAGTTAAAAGGTGGGGATCATAAAGGTGTTTGTTTCTCTATACCGCAATATTCTCTCAAATATTTTCTCAACTATTAATCTTTGTTCTTAAACTCAAAAAGAAATTGGAAACTATTTTTACAATCTTTAATTGTTCTTGTTTTTCACAAATCACAACTGTTAAATACCAATTTTATTGATCCGACAAGAAAGGAATAGTTATAATAAATTCGGTGCGTCAATCCTCGTGGAGACTCTACTCTACTCATCATTTTATTACTTGAAACGAACAGTACACTTGCCGTTTTCGCAACAAGTTTTTGGCGCCGTTGCCGGGGATTTAATACGCCAAGTTTATCAATAACTTTTGATTTTCTTGATTGGATTTTGTGTTACTAATCTGTTTGCTTTAGTTTATGCGTGGTACAGTTGATTATGAAAATTTGATCTACTATCCAGAGATAGAAAGGACTGCAAGGATATTTGGACAACTTACCAAGCAGAGGAAGCAAGCAGAAACTTCTACTTCACAATCCGAAGTAGAAACAGAGATGGCAGCTCCAAATCCACCACCGGAAGATGAGTTAATGGAATCAATTTTGGCCCCACTGTTCACAAGGCCAAACTCTAGCATCGTCAGGCCACCGATTGATGCCAACAACTATGACATCCATCCATCACTGATTACATTGGTGGAGAAAACTCAGTTTGGCGGGGAAGATTATGAAGACCCCCATGATTTCATGGACGAATTTCTCAGAATCTGTGACACTACCAAACACCATGGGGTATCAGATGATGCCATTAGACTCAGATTTTTCTCGTTTGCTGTAACCGGAAAAACTCTCAAATGGTTGAATCGACAAGCTCCCAACAGTATCAGAACATGGGACGAGTTGGCGGCCAAATTCTTTGCTGAGCACTTTTCTATGGAAAAGTACAACAAGTTGGTAAATGAGATTACCAACTTCACCCAACAATCTGGAGAGAATCTGTGTGCTGCTTGGACAAGATTTCCGGAACTGATCAGAAAATGCCCCCAATATGACTTCCCAGACACAAATAAAGTTAGAGTCTTTTATAATGGGATGACGCCAGAATCCATAATAGTTGTTAACGGTGCAGCCGGTGGAACCATAGGAAAGAAGACAACAGCTCAAACCTTAGAGCTGATTGACTTCATGGTGAGGAATGAGAATGCATCTATGGCAGTCCAACCTGTTCATCCAAAGAAAGGACTCCTGCAATTAGGGAACAATGATGCGTCATTAGCTGAGCAAAAGGTTATTTCTCATCACCTAGCCAATATGAATTCCAAGCTAGACAAGATGCAAGTCTTTACAGCACAAGTTAATTCAATTAACTGTGAGTATTGCAAAGGGGAGCATGAAACTAATGAGTGTCCAACACTCATGGGAGCTTAGCCTTTCCAAGTCAATGGAGTGTGGTATGATCCAAGACCACCATATAATTTTTAGAGGAATCAGAACAATGCTCAAGGAGGCAACTTCCAAAGAAGAATTCAAGGGAGAGGTTTGGACTACAAATCCAACAATTATCTACAACCTCATTCTCTTCCACATAAGGAGCCTTCTGAGTTGGAGGAAGCAATGCTACAGCTTTCTAAGACCACAAATGATCATATTCAGAATACTGACGCCTTCATGAATGAGACAAGAGCCTACCACAAGAACCAAGATGCTTCCATCCAGAACTTGGAGAATCAGATAGCCAATTGTCTAGGCAGCTAGCTGGAAGAAATCAAGGGCAGTTCCCAAGTGATACGGAAGTGAATCCGAAGGAACACTATAAATCCATTGTGACCAGGATTGGTATTGTGGTCACACCTCAAGAGAAACCCAAGGAGGTGAAGAAAAGCTAATGAAGAGCTAGTGCAAAAAGGTAACAGAGAGGCAAAAGAGCAACCTGCTGAAGCTCCAAAGAAGCTGACTGACTATTCTCGTTTTGAAAAACCTCCTTACCCTATGAAGCTCAAGCAGCAAGCACAGAAGTAACAATATGCCAAGTTTTTAGATATGTTTAAAAAGCTGCGTATTAGTATTCCTTTTGCTGAGGCTTTAGCAAATACGCCTAACTATGCTAAATTTATGAAAGATTTATTGTCTAGAAAGCATAAGTTGCAGGATTGTGAGACAGTAGCACTTGCTGAGGAGTGCAGTGCCATTATACAGAAGAAGTTTCCACCAAAGCTTCGAGATCCTGGGAGTAGGGGTGATAAACGAGCCAGGGGCCTTTGGCTCGGCTCGTGAAGGCCTGAGCTTACATGCCTAATATTGGTTGTTGGAACCAGGCTTAGACTTGTATAAAAGCTCGTTTAGTAAAAAGGCCTCATGCTCCAATTCAAAAGCTCGTCCTTGGATCCTCTCAGGCTGGCCTAGTATATTAATTTTTATTTTTATTTATATTTTTTATACTATTTGTAATAGCCCTCTCTCTCCTCTCAATCCATTTCACCCCTATTTTATTGGTTAAACAAACTTTTTGAATGATTTTGTTCTATATTATGTTGTTTGGATATACATTGAATTTATGAATATTTATGGAATTACTAGTGTTGTTGATTGTATATTCTGTTTGGATAAATTTTTGTTGTCTTATTTTTTTCTAACAGGCTAAATCAGGCTTTTTTTTTGCAAAAAAGGCAGGCCACAAGCCGATAATTATATTCGTAACAGGTAACAAGCTTGGTAAGGCCGACACATTTAAACACAGGTTTAGCCTTTTAAGACCAAAGCTCGGCTCGGCTCGGCCCATTAACACCCATACCTGGGAGTTTCAACATCCCAATTGTGATAGGCAACACTAATGTTGGCCGAGCACTCTGTGATCTTGGAGCAAGCATCAATCTGATGCCATTGTCAGCATGTAAGTTGTTGGGAATTTCTGAATTGAAGCCAACTATGGTATCTCTATAGCTTGTTGACTGTTCTTTAAGGAGGCCTAATGGAGTCATAGAAGATGTCCTTGTTAAAGTTGACAAGTTCATCTTCCCTGCTGATTTCATAGTGTTGGATATGGAGGAGGAAAGCGAAATACCCCTTCTGTTGGGTAGACCGTTTTTCACTACAGCTCGAGCTATGATTGATGTAGAGCAAGGGAAGCTCGAATTGAGGATGAATGATGAGACAATCACTATCAATGTTTTTGATGCTATGAAGAACTCATCTGACCAGAATGATTGCTTCAGACTTGATGTGTTTGAAGAGGTCATCAAAGAAAAAAAGCTTGATGATCAAGAGCTTGAAGAGAAGTTGAAGTCTCAAGATGAAGCTACTCCAGAAGAAGAGGTAGAAGTTGTTTTTGAGGTACTAGAAAAGAAAGAAAATAATTTAGCCACAGTGGTACCAAAAACAGAATTAAAAGAGTTACCTGAAACTCTGAAGTATGCCTTCTTGGGAGATGAAAGCAATATCCTGTCATTATCAACAAGGAGTTGTCTACGAATGAAGAGGAGAAGCTTTTGAAAGTGCTCAAAGAGCACAAGACAGCTATTGGGTGGTCTATTACTGATTTGAAGGGCATCAATCCTTCTTTCTGTACTCACAAGATTCTGATGGAAGACAATGTTAAACCTGTGAGACAGCCTTAGAGAAGACTAAACCCAACAATGAAGGAAGTAGTTCTCAAGGAAGTGATAAAGCTTATGGATGCTGGAATGATTTATCCAATTTCTGACACTGTATGGGTGAGTCCAGTACAGACAGTTCCAAAGAAAGGAGGAGTTACTGTTGTGAGAAATAAGTAGAATGAGTTAATCCCTACTAGAACCATTACTGGTTGGAGGATGTGCGTGGGCTATAGAAGACTGAATGATTCTACAAGGAAGGATCATTTTCCCCTTCCTTTTATTGATCAGATGTTGGAGAGGTTGGCCGGACATGCTTTTTACTGTTTCTTGGATGGTTATTGTGGCTATAACCAAAGTCCAGTAGCACCAGAGGATCAGGAAAAGATAGCTTTCACATGCCCCTTTGGAGTTTTTGCTTACAGAAGGATGCCATTCGACCTTTGCAATGCACCTGAAAAATTTCAAAGGTGTATGCTTTCTATTTTCTCTGATATGGTAGAAAAATGTTTAAAGGTATTTATGGTCTGTCTTCGGTTCTTGTTTTGATTCATGCTTAGTTAATTTAGCTAAGGTTTTGAAAAGATGTCAAGAAACTAATCTGGTTTTAAATTGGGAAAAGTGCCATTTTATGGTGCGGGATGGCATAGTGTTAGGTCATAAGATTTCTGAAAAACGCATTGAAGTTGATAAGGCTAAGTTAATGTGAAATTGAAAAACTTCCTCCTCCCGTTAATACTAATGGTGTGCGAAGTTTATTAGGTCATGTAGGTTTTTATCGAAGATTCATCAAAGATTTCTCAAAGATTGAAAAGTCTCTTAGCCAATTGTTGGTGAAGGAAAATAAGTTCCTCTTCGATGAAGCTTGCCTCAATGCATTTAATGTGTTGAAAGAAAAGTTTACCACAACACCTGTTCTGACGTCGCAGATTGGAATCTTCCTTTTGAACTCATGTGTGATGCGAGCGCATATGCCATGGGTGCAATACTTGGTCAGCGTAAGAACAAGTTGTTGCATGTTATTTACTATGCTAGCAAAGTTTTTAATGAGGCATAGACCAATTATGCCGCTACTGAAAAAGAGATGCTAGCAGTAGTTTATACATTAGATAAGTTTAGATCTTATTTGATAGGTTCTAAAGTGATTGTGTTTACTGACCATGCTGCTCTTAAGTATTTGATGACCGAGAAGGATGCAAAGCCACATTTGTTGCATTGGATGCTCCTATTTCAAGAGTTTAACTTGGAAATTAAAGACAAAGCTGGAGTGAAAAACAAAGTAGCTGATCACTTGTCTAGAATTCAAGACAAGAACTTACAAGAGGGACTGAAAATAGAAGTTAATGAGTTCTTTCCTGATGAGCAAGTGATGGCGGTTATTATGAGTCCATGGTCTGCAAACTTTGCAAACTACAAAGCTATTGGACTAGTGCCTCCCTTTCATGGCAGCAGAAAAAGAAATTCTTTCATGATGCAAGAAGGTATCACTGGGATAACCCTTTTCTTTATTTTCAATGTGTTGATGGTGTTATTCGTAGGTGTATTGCTGAATTTGAAGTGCCAGACATTCTATGGCATTGCTATGCATCTGACTATGGAGGACATTTTGGAGGCAACAAAACTGCACAAAAGCTGTTGCAAAGTGGATATTATTGGCTAACAATCTTCAAGGACGCACGAGAGTTTGTGGAGAAATGTGACAAGTGCCAAAGGACGGGAAACATATCCCGTAAAGATGAGATGCCCCTCAACTGCATACTGGAGGTGGAGCTGTTTGATGTTTGGGGAATTGACTTTATGGGACCATTCCCTAAGTCATATTCTAATCAATACATCTTGGTTGATGTGGACTACGTGTCCAAGTGGGTAGAAGCAGTTGCTTTACCTACTAATGATGCAAAGGTGGTAGTTTCTTTCTTACGGAAGAACATCTTCACCCGCTTTGGAGTTCCTCATGCGATCATCAGCAATGGTGGCACTCACTTTTGCAATAAGCAATTTGAAAACTTGCTTACAAAGTACGGCGTCACTCACAAGGTCGCTACACCACACCATCCTCAGACTAGTGGACAGGTAGAGATTTCAAATGGAGAGCTGAAGAGGATTTTGGAGAAGACAGTGGGCAACTCAAGGGAAGATTGGGCCAAGAAACTTGATGATGCACTCTGGGCATACAGGACCACTTTCAAAACACTAATAGGTATGTCACCATTCCAACTGGTGTATGGTAAGTCTTGTCATCTTCCTGAAGAACTAGAACATAGAGCTTTGTGGGCTATTAAATTTTCAAATTTTAAACCACCAAAAGCTACGATAAAATATTACTGCAATTAAATGAGGTAGATGAGTTTAGGTTAGTGTAACACCCTGTATGCATCCGGTTTGTTAACATTACATCGTATTAAGCTGCGCTTAATAAAAATTGCGGAATATCTTTTTATTTTCCAATTATGACGTCATAAACTTAGCCAAGTTGATTACTTAATCAATTTCATAAAAACTTCGCATGTATGTAAATTGCAATAAGACATCTACTGATAAACCTCAATATATAAATAAAGTGTGTATCTAAAATCACGGATCTACAACTCGTAATCCGGACATAATCCTGATACATTATTACAACTTCAAATAAAACAAGACATAACAAGACTGTGTGTCATGGACAATCCCCATGCTCACCAAATCAACAGCGTCTCAACAAGATGATATACAATCATAAACTGAAGCTAAAAGCATAAAACATCATGCATAACCAGCATCCAACAAGTCAGCGTAATATAACAGCAATATCTAACTCAGCTCTGGCCTCCTGCCACCTAAGGTCTCGACCTTACCTGAACCTGAAATAAGCGCCCCAAACGTGGGGTGAGATCTCTAACAGAAATCTCAGTAAGACAAGGGGTCCTCGAGGATCTTCCACCCCAAGCTCACTTACATGTGCAATATAAGTTCAAAAGCAATTTAACAATATAATTTCCAAAGTAATGCAATGCAGCAGATAATTATGTCATGTGGGTTATAACTATTCTACTAATCAGAGAAATGCCGGAATATGTCTATTACCCACACAGTACCAGCCCATGCTGTATCAGTCCATGCTGTACCCACCCCCAAAGGGCCACCCCATGGTTTTACATAAATATCATGCAGCAATTGCACTTAACAGCTCCATAGCATTTCAATAAAACGGTACATGAAGACAACATCATGCATATAACCATACCCTCATGGGACATGGTTGAACAAATAATGGCTAAGCCGAGGACACGAAAGCTTACCTTGCAAGCTCACTATCCAATGCCAAGAGTCCACACGGCTCAAGTCCAACACACAGCAGATCAAAATCTGATATGGACCAACAATTATATCAATATTCACATTCTAATATTTTACCATGATAAACTAGACATCATGAGGTTTCCAACGATATAATTTATGTCTTAATCAGAGTTGTATAACTCCGGTTATGATTTACGCAAGGTGACTGCTGCAAATAGAAATTCCAGCAATCAAAACGCGACTTAGAATAGACACTGCGATCAAATCACTGATCCAATGGCTACGAAAATTTACAGAGGTTTAACCCTATGTGTTAGATTTACATAGGTCCAGACGGAACTCAATTTGGAGCTCTGTAGCCCAAGATATCGAATTTTTACTAAAACAGGTTTGTTGCTGTCCAGACCAAAATATCGGGATATCTCCAACTGAATATCGGGATATCTGATATCCGAATATTTCCAACCAAATATCGGGATATCACATATTCGCATATTTGCAACCAAATATCTGGATATTTCGCGTCAGAATGCAGATTTTGCATTTCGCGAGATATCAATCCCAAGGGTCCATTTTTACCGATTACAAACACTTAAATATGCATTTCTAGGTGTGTTTGACATTACCCAACGTTAAGTTATCATCTTTTAGCCTTTAGATGCATCAAGGTTCCATTTTTAAGCATAAAACTCAATTTAAAGTGAAGGGACATACCCTAAGGCTTCAAAACAAAAACAAAGGCTGCTCTTGGAGCTCACAACAGTCTCCAAGGCTCTAACTTCACAGAGAAACAAAAATGGCATACAAATGTTGGTTCTTTTCTTCACAAGGTACCTTCTTGGAGCATCAAACTCCAAGAATGGGGCACCATAGCACCAAACCAGAAACTCAGCACTACAAACCTCAAAATACAGGAGCAAGAACTCAGAAACAAGGTCCTCTCACCCTCACAAGGTGGCTCACACCAAGATATGTTGATCAAGAGAAGAAACCATGATAAAAGGAGGTGTCTTTGGTAAGAAAATGGAGAAGAAATGGAGTGACAAGGTGGCTGGTCTCACAACTCAGAAAAACTCACGCTGGAGGCTCATCAAAATGACCTAGGATCATGTGCCAAGGCTATTTATAGCCACTTATGTTTTAATCACACAGTATTAACTTTAATTGCTACGCTTAGCATTTTAATCTCAAACTCAGGATTCTTAACCTACTCAATTTTACAAGAATTATCATATTTTTCTTATATTTTTCTGAGCACCTTTTCGGTACGCGCTTTTCATAGCCAGTATCAGATTCTTGCACCAGTTCTCATTATTTGGACTTGAAACTCGTTTTACAAGTCCTACATATTATTCTAGTAATTATCATGCACTTATTATAATTTTTCGGGATACTTTTTCAGTACGCATTTATACCGACTAGCAGAACCGGTATCTGCACTTTTCTTCCGAAAAGTGACTTTCAGCATTCTTAATCACTTACCATGATTATTAGAGCCTCATAATAATTATTAGGGTCAATTATGGAATCATTTCCTATTTTCTCATAATTAATTAATTAAATTCCTTAATTAACGGTGCGGGTTCTTAAATTCACCCCACCTTTTTAAGGATTTTGTCCTCAAAATCAGAAAACATATCTGTACCGAAGCACGGGATACTGCTAGAGAAGCTCGTCCTCTCGCTCCCAGGATTACCCTTCAGGAATTCTTCCCGTTCAACGTACTCTGACCGTCGAAATGATCTTGCTCCTCAGCTGCTTCTCGCCACGATCGAGAAACTTTAGTGGTCCGACGGGAGTTTTCAAGTTCTCTCGAACCTCCACAACATCCGGTTGCACCACGTGCGAAGGATCCGCTACAAACTTGCGAAGTTGAGACACGTGAAACGCGTCTTGGTTGCTGTCCATGTTCGAAGGCAAGGCAAACCGGTAGGAAACAGATCCTACTCTACCACGTAACTGGTATGGCCCAAAGAACCACGGGCTCAGTTTCCTCACTCCTAGTTCCCGAACAACATCGGTGACAGTGAAAGCTTCACAAACACGTGCTCACCCTTACCGAACTTCAGTGAACGATGCTCAACATCAACGTAGTCCTCCTGGCGACTAAGCGCCTGCATCAATTTTCCTCTGATCATCTGACCCGACAGATGGTAATCAGACAAGGTCCAAACCAAACAACTCTTTTTATCTCCAATCTCAGACCAACAGGTAGGAATTCTACACCTCCTACCAAATAGCGCCTCGTAGGGTCCCATGCCCAGGCTAGCAAGGAACACACAATCACAAAACTCTACCAATGACAGGTACCTATCTCATGCGGGGCCCTGTTCCAAGGTGCACGCCCTCGACATGTCCTCCCAGATTTGGAGGGTCCGCTCAGTCTGTCCAGCAGTCTGAGGGTGATAGGCTGTACTCAGTCTCAACTGAGTTCCAAAAGCTCTCAGCAGCGTCTCCCTGAACCGAGATGTGAACTTCGGGTCCCTAACACAGAGGATACTCTCGGGCACCCCGTGAAGACTCACGATCTCGTGAACGACAGTATGACCAACTGCTTTGATGAGAAGCTCACCTTTACCGGAAGAAAGTGGGCAGACTTAGACAATCTGTCCACGATGACCCAAAAGAGTCATTACTAACCTGGGTCTTAGGCCGACCCATCACGAAGTTCATGGAAATACTTTTCCACTTCCACAACGGTACCTCAACAGGTTGAAGCTTACCAACGGCTTCAGGTGTTCAATCTCTACCTTCAGGCAAATCAAACACTTGGACACATACACCGCTATGTCCTTCTTCAATCCACGACACACCATCTTGGTTCTTCTCCAAAAGCTCATTCTCGACTCTCAAAGTCTCAAATTCGAGAAGTGCATCCTCAAACAAATAGGTCACTGTCAGAACTCGAAGTTTCACAATGACGTCACGACGTCATCCAATTCTCTGGGATCATCAGTCATTCCCTCAATAGGGGTGACCTAACCCCACAAACTCTAATCTACACAACACTCGAGTGAGTTGGGTCCTATTCCATGACTCTATCTTCAACAAGACTAGCAATTTATAATCCCTATCCTCAAAATAAATTCATATTCATTTCAAAGTACTAAATCATAATCATGTTCAATTCCACCAATACATGTTAATTAACGAACTCATTTACATAGTAACTTACCTTAGTTCACGTACACCTGCAAAATTTTAAATTTTAATAACATAATAGCAAAAAAACTCTATGTAACGGTATACCCCACTCTCTATGATATCTGCAAAATTGAGAGTTAGTCAAAGGTGAAATAACATTGACATATATTACCACAGTTCATTGTACTCATTTCATGCTTAACACTATCCATGGTGTTAACATGCCAACTACTCATGACGCATATCAATGATCAACATAAAAACCTAGAGTCATGGAGACCACTCAACTCACAAACTACTAGTACATGCATTGCCTCGCATATACAAGACACACGTGGCCCTTGTCACCAATTCCAAGTGTTACACACTCAGTTTCCCTGAAGAGAGGTTCACACTCTCAAACAGAGCACCATCACGCTTAAGTAATGGCGTAAGGCCTCTTGCCTCAACAAAATGACCGGTGCTTCCCAAAGAGACACGCTCGGTCGGAT